TGGTTTTATCACCAATTCACAAGCGTTTCAAGATGAACACTGCTGAGGATGCTACAAGGTATAAGAAGTAGTTTCTGGACTAAAGGAGTTCACACACACACACACCCTGGGGTGTCTCTTTGTACTAGTTATCTACTGCTGCATAATAATATTGCTACAAATATTGCTGCTTAAGACGCACATATTTATCATCTCACGGTTTCTGTGGGTCAGAAATATAGTCACAGGTTAGCTGGATGTGCAGTTCCAGGGGCTCGCAAGGCTGCAGTTGAGGAGTCAGCTAGGGCTGCAGTCTCATCTGAGGCTCGAATGGGGAATGGTCCACTTTCAAGCTCAAGCGCTTGTTGCAGAATTCATTTCCTTTCAGCACGAGCATCTCAGTTTCAGGCTGGTTATTGGCTAGATGCTACCCTTGGTTCCTGGTAACCCAACATAGTCACTTTGTTAAAGCTACCATGGGAGAAGCTCTTAGACGATGGCGTTACTGTCTAACATGTCATACTTGCAGAAGTGACATTCCATTACTTTTTCCACGTTTTATTAGCTAAAGGCAAGTTGTAGGTGTATACCCACACTCTGGAAGAGGGTTGCACAAGACAGGGACACCAGAAGCTGGCCACCTCAGTGTGCATCTGCCACACCACTCCTGAGTTTTGGTCCAGTTGTACTGTTGCAATTTAGTTCTTTTCTAGGCAGGAAACAGACCGTCTCTGTTGGTTCCAGATATTTTAATAGAGAGACCATTTGGAGTAATATGTGAGAGTTCAGGGAACTGAAGGGAGGCTCCCAGAGGCCTGTTAAGGCTCTGCCTCGATGCCCCGTGTCTGGTTGTGTGTCCATCCCCTGTGGCTGTGAGTGTTGGTAGACGATGGCCTAGGACCCCTCCATTTCTGGAGCATGGCTGGTTGTTCTCAGCCAAGGGGTAGAAACATCAAGCTAAGAGTAGTTCATGTCTCCCCAACCCTAGCATGGCTGACTCACTTGGGGTTGCAATAGGCCGAGCCCCTTTTCTTAAGACAGGAACCACACTGGGATACAGTTCACACCCCTGTGCCCCATGGAACAAGACTGAACCTGGAATCCTATGGAAACCCTCTCCTAGCTTCGCTCTTCTTCCTTCTTGTCTCTGCTCACTCCAGTGTATCTGATCCCATTTCAGCCTTTGCTTCAAGGATGCCCACCCTAAGACTGGCAGAAACACATGGCTACCCATAAGCCTGAGGAAGCAAAGGAGGAAGTGGTGTCACAAAGGCCTGGTGAGAGCTGAAGCCTTGGAGCTGGAGCTTGGCCACTGCAAGGATCCGAGTAGGCATTGGGAAGAAAGATGCTGTTCTCTGTCCATCCGCTCAGTCTGCTTCCCTTTAGGCAGGCCCCACAGGATGCTTGCCAGTAGTCTGCTGGCTAAAAGGCGTCAGCCTTTCAGGGCCCTGAGCAGAGGGAAGGAAGGAGAATCCGCAAGAAGGAATAGATGCGACCAGCATAACAAGCGTATACGTTCTTCCCTCCTCCAGTCCAATCCTCATGTTGGGACCAGACTGATCTTTACCAGGTACCCATTTGATTGCGTCCATCCCCCAGATTCAAATCCTCCAGGGGTTTCCCATCACTTAAAGAAGTGATTCATGACGTCTCTGGATCATGCACTCCATCGATAAGTCTCTGAACATGTGCCTCCAGCTCACGCATTTATAAACCTATTCACATGTGCTATCATTAATTCAGAGCAAACACTACAGACCCTGGTGTCAGACGCCATTGAGGATTGCATGTCCCTTCGTATTTCAAGAAGTCTTGATAATTTTAAATTATCTGGGGCAGCTTTTAGCACATGGGACTAGATTGTCACTGTTTTCAAGCAAGTGCGATGGCTAATGGAACCCTCACACGAGGAGCAGATATGTCCCTCTGCCATTTCAGGTATCTAGTTGTCTGCATTATTGTGTTATAGTCAATCAGACACTTCTTTGCAGTGATCCGTTTGGCAGGGAGCGATAGCTAAAACTGGATACTGTCATCTGAAATCCATCTAACCGGGCACATGTGAACCAGACTGAACTAACGACCTGAAGATGAATAAATGACCCCTCTGCATTGTGGGACTTCTCTCGTTCCCACCAGATGCCTTCTGAATGGCACATGACGTGTGACCCTCTGTCACAGGGACCGGGAGAGGGCTTTTGTGGAACACAGGGTCCAGTGAGTCAGCCAGCACTTTGGGAAGAAGAGTGATGGGGGCATGAGTTGCCCAGCCGAGGAGGCTGATCGAGCAACTTCATGGCCAGCAGAGCCGTTGCTTCTGCTCTGCTGCCTGACTTGTGAATCCATGAGAGTTATGGGTGCTTGTGCCTGGATCCTTAGAGGAACTGGTTTTCAGGGTGGCCGTGTACTCTGAGGTGGACGGGTATGCTCAGGTTGTGGGCTTCCAAGACAGAAGACATTTAAAGGGGCCCGGAGGACTTGGGTCTTACCGTGATAGGAAACATCTGAAAGGGCTCACGTGGGCTGCGGGGGGCGAGAGGTTTTTGTCTTGCGATCCGTCAGGACACAGTACTGAGAGCCGCCACCTTAGAGGCGCCCCCACTGCGCCTGGCATTGTGGTCTTCACGCTACACCCGGCAGTCCTTCAAAGCAGGCACAGAACTCGATGGAGGTGGGAAACACCCTGCCCAGGGACACATGGCTAGGCGTGGAGAAGCCGGGTTTGAATCTGAAGTAATGAGTCTCCTTGACACTCCATGTGCATCACTCCTCGCGACTGACACTGGCACTCGAGAAGATGCCCCGTTCCGTGGTGGCTCGTGTGTTCTGGAATGGAGCCAGGGAGTCTAGAGGGGTGGACGTGCCACGAGCCTGTGAGGACAGGGACGGTGAGAGGGAACGGGTAGCTCCGAGAGAGAGGAGAGGCCTGGGGAGACTTGCAGGAGGGAAGAAGGCTCCATAGAGCTCCGAGGGCTTGAGAAAGCAGAATCCAGGAGGATGCTGAGGGCAGCTGTCCTCATCAGAGAGGCGAGGAAGGACTTGCAGCCTGCTTCCGGCCTGTCTGAACAGGGGGCGTCTTCCCACCGGCCGGTGCCCGCCTGCCCAGGCTTGGCTGGAAACTTCGTTTCTTGTGTTCTGTGTCAGCTGTGCTGTTCCGATCACGGGCCCACTCACGGCTTGTGAACACAGGGGGACAAGAATGCATTAAGCTGCAGACCTGTGATTGGTGCCTCTTCTGTGTTTGAATAAGATGTATTTGGAAATAGAAGGGAAGTGTGGTGCTGGGCAGGGGCTGCAGTGAATCAAGGGTGCTTGTTGTGGCCACTGCTCCGTGGTGGAGCTGAGAGTTCGCCAGCTGAAGGCTCCACCTGCGTAAAAATAGCTGCGGCCGGGAGACGAGAACTGGCTGCTTGGCCCCCACTCTGCCATTCGCATAATTGCGTGCCATGGGCAAGCCGCCAAGCCTGTCTGAGCTTGAATTTTCTCACTTGCGGAAAACAAATGTCCCGAAGTTCCTATTAATGCTCAGTTTAGTAGATGAAAGAGCAGCTCTCATCCTCAAACTAATTCCTCAGCACATAATAAAGCCAGCACTGCAACTCTCCGCAGCCGCAAACCACCCTCACCTGATTGGACAGGACGAGGTCGGCAAGCAGGTTTCTGGAGGGGCCCCCCACCCCGGGTAGCGCCTCGGGCTCTGTGGGCCCTGCAGGCCCCGTTGGCAACGGCTCCGCTCTGCCGTCGCGAGGACGTGTAAGTGAAGAGCAGCTGAGTCCCAGGAAAACTGTATTGGGTGTGTGTGTGTGTGTGTGTGTGTGTGTGTGTGTGTGTGTGTGTGTATGAATGGGCATGTGTGTGTGTGCATGTGTGTGGATGTGGTGAATGTGTATGTGACCTTGTGAGTGTGTGAGTGCGTGTGCATGTGTGTAAGCATGTGAGTGTGCACAAGTGGAGTGAGTGTGTGTGTGTGAGCATGTGAGTGCACATGGGTTTGAGTGTGTATGCACGTGTAAGAGTGTGCATGTGACTGTGCGTGTGTGTGTGTGTTCATCCGAATGTGAGGGTGCCTGTGTGTGTGTGAGAGATGCTGAGGCCACCACCCCATAAGAGAGGTGACACCGTGTGCTCACCTGAGCCTGTATGGTGCCACCCCAAGGGACGCTCACTTGGTGTGGAAGAAGAGAAGGTGGCAGGAGGAACGATTCCACTTCCAGACAGGAGACCTCGCGGAGGGCACCGATGGGTTCTGCTCCCCAGGGAATGTTCTGAGGCCCCTTCTCTTCCGAGCGGAGGGCGTGGTACCTGGCGACCCTGTGCGCACAGTGCCTGGGCCAGGTGCCACGTGGAGCCGGGGGGCCGAGGGCTGCTGCTGTTTCCCTGAGTTTGGGGTCGGGGCTTCCCCATTTCCTGGCCCCCTCGTTCCCCGTTTTGATTCTGAGTTCCCCGTTTTGATTCTGAGTTCCCCTGTGGCCATTGGGAGCAGGGAGGCGGGACTCCAGCCCTGGGGCAAGGACTGACTGGCCGCTCTGGGGACAGCTTGCCATCAGCATCTCGAGAGTTGGGGATGGGACACTTGGTTGTTTCGTCAGGTCGTACAAAATCCTTTTCTTGTCTCACCCAGGAGGAGAGTTGGATCTCAGGGAGTCTTGGAAACCTGAGATGTGATTAAATTGATTAACTGGCAAATCTGTAGAATCTCCCACAAGCCATGCACTTAATCTGGAGCTAGATTACCATTTGCAGTCCACTGAACTAATTCATTAATTGTATTGCACAGACTAAAAATTTTGTTATGCAGATATATGCAAATCATACGGAAAGACAGCGTTCTCAGCCGAGTACTCTGGCACCTGCTTGTGTTTGTTTGTTTCCATTTGTTTCACGGGAACAGTGAGGGATAAACATCTTCAGCATTTGGAACCGGGTCCAACCATTTTCTGAGGGGTGGCCAGGAGGCTTCTCTGGTGACAAACAGCGCAGTGACGGGCACGTCTTTCCTCTTCCTTTCTTGCCCCAAACAGCATGAAGAAAATGAGCAACATCTATGAGTCGGCGGCCAACACGCTGGGCATCTTCAGCAGCCCCTGCCTGACCAAGGTGGAGCTGCGTGTGGCGTGCAAAGGCATTTCTGACAGGGACGCCCTGTCCAAGCCGGACCCCTGCGTCATCCTCAAGATGCAGTCCCACGGGCAGTGGCTCGAGGTAGGTGCGTCCGGCCACCCGGACCCGGGCGGCGGGGCAGTCGGTTCAAAGGTGTTTGACGGGGTCCGCCCTCGGGGATTTCGATGAGACAGCAAATTCCAGAAGTGAACAGGACCGTGTTTCTGTGGGTATCATGATGCTTTCCTGTGGCTGTTGCGTTGCTGAGGCTGTTTTGAGATTTGCCGCTATTCACGCACCTAAGATTCTGGGGTGTTTTGTTCATTCCCAAGCAATACTCACAACGTTCTCTTCATGCCATGCCCAGCTATTGGCGAAGGGTCAGACGTGAGCCCAGACCCCAGCCTGGGCTGGGTGAGCGAGCTCCAGCCATCGGTTCCAGCAACGAAATCTTGTGGCCACGGCAGGGCTCAGAGGAGACCTGCTTGGAATTCTGGGAGCGGTGCTTTTGGGGAGCACGCTTTGGAGGTTGAAGGGACTGATTCTGCAGATGGGCTGAGCTCAGTGGATGAGTACTCCTGTCCACAGGATGAAGGCGGGAGCCCGGGGGACACGTGTGAACATGTCAGTCCCGTGAGGTCCCCAGTCACACATCTACAGCCGGGGGAAGCTGTACCCTGGGCTGGCTGGGGACCTGCTGTCCTGGACAGTTGTCCAGGGCTGAGAGCAGAGCCTGTGAGAGTATGGAGAGGGTGAGGGTGGATGGATGGGAGAGAGGGGGCAGGGGAGGTGCTGCACCAGTAACCCCGAGATCTGAGCAATGCAAAGAATTGCGAGACGAAAAAAGAAAAGTTTACTTGAAAGTAAATTAGAGGGAGAAAGAGAAGGGAGAGAGAAGATTCGCCTCCCCGAGGTGGGGGAGGGGGCCAAAGCCAGGAAGCGTGGCGACAGCCGTGGCTCAAAGAGCACGTGGCCACACCAGAGTCTAGCACGGCAGTGGCCGCTGGTTGCTTGTGGTTGGGTCCTTTTAACCATTCCCCTAGATAGGGGAAGATCGTTAAGGTGATTGGGTGGTGGTCTGCTCCTTGTCATCATAAAGGGGCAGGCAAGCACAGGTGCTGACCTCAGGTGATGGACAGCAGGCAGATGGGTGGGTCAGACCCACGATTGCTGCCATGGTGGGTCTTATCTGTGTCACACAGTTCACAGAGGGCGGATTAGGTTAACCCTGGGGAGGGGGTTCCTGCAAGAGACTTGTTAGACATTTGCAGTTCACAAACTCAGACACTTGCAGCTCACAAACTCCTTGACCAAAGGTCATATTATTACTTTCATGACTTTGACCAGCCAAAGGGTGATCTTTGATCTTCGGCCTCGACAAGGAACCTAAAAGTTTACTAGAGATGATGATGCTAAACCATGAATTGAAAGGTTGGGCTGTCCTGGTCTTCCATCCGGTGGAGATTTGCCGAGGGGGGATGGGATAGGCTGCTGCTTGTTCTGCAGTAGAATGTCTGAACACTTTCTAATGGCGATGCTGAGGCAAAAAGACTCAACTAAGAATAAGCTAAGTTTCTTCTAGGTTTCTGTAGGTACCTTTCAGGGCCAGGACTGGGGTTTTCTGGGTGGCAGGTGGGGATCTAACCCAGGGCAAACTGCAACTCTACGGAGAAACAGAGGCTGCGGGAGAGGAGAATGGCGTGGAGCCCAGCCCTGGTGGGGCCAGTCTTCAGGCCCAGGAAGGGGCCTGTCCCAGGCTCCGAGGCAGAAGGACTGAGCTGGCGTCGACACCCCACCTGAGCATGTGGGAGGAGCCTGCGGGGGTTTGCGGGGAGGAGATTGGGTGGAGATGGAGGGAGGCGACGTGCACACGCGCTTTCCGTGGGCTCTGGACGGTGTTGGAGACACGTGCAGACCCTTCCGGAAGCTCTTGCGCGGCCCGTCTGCCCTGTGTTTCCCGACACACACTCCTGGCGAGGCTGGCGCTGGTGGGCTCTCGCAGGACTGTGGGTGGGGTGGGTTGCCGTGAGTCATTCTCCGAAGAGCCGTCGGCTCCCAAACTGCCAAGGGCTGACTTTTCTTTCGGCGGTAAGTCTGCTCTGGGAAAGATTTACTCATTCTTGTGCCTGTTGGACTCTCACCAAAGGTGGACCCCGTAAAGAAAAGCTCTAGGAGAAACGGTGGGCTCTTTGTGTGAGTGGTGCCATATTTGGCCGATGGCCAGATGTTTCTCCGATGGGTGCTCACGTCCCCCTGGGGAGGACGGGGCCACGCCATGCAGCATTCATAGTTTAGAGTGAGCGCCGAGGCAGCCTGAGCTAACCCTTCCTGCAGGCCTCCTCTGAGTGTTGAATATGAAATAAGCCATTTAGCCCTTGCAGCTGTTCCATGAGACAGCATCCCCATTTCACAGGCGAGGAAACAGAAAGCAGAAAGGTGCAGGCTTGTCCCACCCAGGAGGCAAGCTCTTTGTGGCTGCTTATGATCATGGCAGCCTCCGCTGCGGTCTGAGGTACTCTGCGTGGCAAGACTGCAGGCCGAATTTGGCCGCTGGGTTTTGTGTGTTTACAAATCAAAGCAAGTTGGATGAGGACTGAATGTCAGGTTTCTCCGAGCAGGTGTGTGTGTCTGCGTACGTACCTGGCTTATGAAGCAGTGCTTTAAAGAATTGGGCCTGAGGTGAATGGGAGAGCGGGGAAGAGGGAGGGCGCGGCAGAGAGAGCTGCTCTTCTCTCGGGGGACCCAGTACTCGCGGGCTTTGGGTGAGGGACTGAAGCTGTGCGAGCAGAGCGCCCGCAGACGCGTGGGGTCCCTCGACCCAGCTCTCCGGGGCTCTGTGCTTCTCCCACCTGTCTACGGAGATCTGTGGGAGACCCTCCAGGGACGGCCGTCCACGCCGCAGCAGAAAGGAGACTCCAGACGCCCGAGAGGCAGCAGGACCCTTGCACGTTTGCCGTGTTACTGGCATGTCCGCTTGTGTGCCAGCCACTTCTCCAAAGGGAGGTTCCACAGCTGCTGGTGAGCAGGTGACACCAGGTGAGAGGGCTACATGCACGGGGACTGAAAGGTGGACAGGCAGATGGGGGCTCTTAATTAATTTCAGGCCCGTCCGAGGCTTGCAATGTGAACACGAAGCCGCGTCCCTGGTGTCTTGCTGTGTGATATCGTTTCCTCCTAAATCTTCTCACTGACGCTGTTGGTGGATCTTACTGTTTTGTAGTTTTTACTTAACAAAACTAAGCAGAATGCCTATATTTTTTTTTTAAAGTCACTTTGAAAATTAGAGGAAAGAAATTCACCTACTAACAGCCTCTTTACACAATTCAACCATTTTTTAAATATCTATCAGTTTTTTATGTTTTTTTCCTTCTGACATACATATTCTCATGTTCTTATATGTTTTTATCGTGCACATAAAATTTGCTTATTTTTAACTTCTAGATTCAGGGGATACACATGCGTATTTATCACATGGATATATTGTGTCGTGGTGGGGATTGGGTCTCAGGCGGTCCATTCCCAGGGAGTGAACACTGTGTCCTGTAGGCGGTTTCTGAGCCCTCACCCCTCACTCTCTCCCTTCCCCACTTATGGGTGTCCCCAGTATCTGTTATGTCCATCTTTGTGACCGTTAGGCTGCCACATAGGAGTGAGAACATGCAGTGCTTGGTTTTCTGTTTCATATAAGATGATGACCTCCATGTTGCCGCAAAGGACATGATTTTGCTCTTTTTTATGGTAGCACAGTATTCCGTGGTGTCTACCTGCCACCTTTCCACGCTCCGTTGATCGGCTGAGGGCATTTAGGTTGATTCCACGTCTTTGCGATTGTGACTTGTGCTGGGATGAACGTGCGAATGCAGGTGTCTTGGTTATACGACGACCTCTGTTCCTTAGGGTAGATCGTGAGTAGTGGGGTTGCTGGATCAAATGGCAGGTCTCCTTTGAGTTCTTTGAGAACTCTCCATGCCGCTTTCCACAGAGGTTGGGCTAATTTACACTCGCACCAAGGGTGTAACTGTTCCCTTTTCTCCGCTTCCGAGCCAGCATCTATTGTCTTTTGATTTTTTAATAATGGCCATTCTGACTGGTGTAGGGTGGTATCTCACTGTGGTTTTAATTTGCATTTCTCTGTTGATGCTTGATGTTGAACATTTTTTTCATGTGTTTGCTGGCCATTTGTATATCTTCTTTTGAGCGATGTCTGTTCATGCCCTTTGCCTACTTTGTTTATTTATTTATTTATTTATTCTTGGCTCTTTTCTCACTGATCTGATTGAGTTCTTTGTAGATTCTGGATATGAGTCCTTTGTCAGATGTATAGTTTGTGAATATCTTCTCCCATTCTGCAGGTTGCCTATCTGCTCTTTTGATTATTTGTTTTGCTGTGCAGAAGCTTTTTAGTTAATGAAGCCTCACTTATTTACTTTTGTTTCCGTGGCATTTGTTTTGGGATTTGGGTCATAAATTCTTTGCCCAGGCCAATGTCCATAAGAGTTTTTCCTAGGTTTTCTTCCAGGATTTTTATGGTTTCAAGTCTGACATTTAAGTCTTTAATTCATCTTTAGTTAATTTTCGTATATGGGGGGAGACAGGGATCGAGTTTCGTTTTCCTGCACGTGGCACTGTTGGTGGAAGAGGGTGTCCTTTCCCCAGCGTCTGTTTTTGTCTGCTTTGCCAGAGACCAGTTGGTTGTGGGCATGTGGTTTTGCTTGTGGATTCTCTGTTCAGTTCCATGGGTCCGTGTGTCTGCTCTTGTACCAGTACCATAAGCATATGACGTTTTCTTTCCTGATTTCCTCTCTTCCAGTGTGCACTTTTTCGATATGGCTACAATGCTGATGATTGTCGTTTTCAGCCTGCATAATATCCCATCAAATGGATTTATTTAATCATTTTTCTGTTTTTTCACTTGAAATTGCTCCCAAGTGCCCTGATTAGGCAGCCTGCAGTGAGTGTCCTTGTGCCTCGAGTGTTCCCTCCTTTCAGACGGATTCCTAGGAGAGGCTCTGTTAAGCACAACTGTGGGGCGAAGCCCAGGCCGCCCTGGAGGCTGTCCGGTACATGCTGCCACAGCACTTTCCCAACGCGCCCGTGGCAGT